TACCTCTTCTAATCTTTTGCTGTGTGATGGGAAAATATGGATTCTCTCTGCCAGTACCAATTGGACCTTTTTATAGAAACCAGACCCCAAAGTGGAAACTCGCCGCCTATGGATTATTCTTTGTTCATTGTTAAACATTAAGTAAGCCACACAGTGGCTTGGTTTTTTTAATACTATCTGAGAACTTTTTTCATTTTTATTAATGTAAAAAATTGCCTTTTGGCAGGCTTGATGGCCTATGCCTATAATCATAGCTACTCAGGAGGCAGAGATTGGGAGGATCAGGATTTGAGGAAAACCTGAGTAAAAAGCTCATGAGACTAGGGTTGGTGGAACACTGCCATTATTCCAGCTATTCTGGAAGCATAAATAGGAGGATCATGGTCTAGACCAGCTTGGCCATAAAGGCGAGACCCTATTTGAAAAATAACTAAAGCAAAAAGATCTCAGAGTATGGCTCAAGTGGTAAAGTGCCTGCCTGGTAAGCACAAAACCTGAGTTCAAGCTCCAGTATCACCAAAAAAATAAGAAAGAATTGCCTTTTTTAGAAAATGTGTTATTCATTATTTTCTTAAATGTAAATCTCAGACACTCTTACTTTCCTTCTGGGAGATACCAGGGCATTGGAACAGTTTTTACTTCATTTGCCCACTCTCACCTTATTTTTAAAATTTATTTTATTCTATAGACTTTTTAATTTTTGTGTGTTCATTTAATGCATTATTATTGGCATTTATTAAAATGTTTATAGAGTACCTAACACAGGCTACATTAAGATATTTTATCTACTAACATGTTAACCTTTAACTAATATAGTTGAAACGTCTAATCCTATAGACATTTAAACCCACAAGACATGATCATTCTGTGTTATATCATCAGTGTTTATCTAGATTTGTCTACAAGTGCACAACCTTCTTTTCTAAACTTTCTGTGTCTCTATATGGGAACATTTCTCTCTATTTTCTCTAGAAGTTCCATTCATACAGTCCCCTGAGGGTAAATTCGTTAGAGGATTTATTTTTGTTTTCATCCAAAAATGTCCTTATTTTTTATCATGGACAAGAGCACAAAATTTCTTCATTTTAGAATAGTTTCACTGAGTGTAGACTTTTTCATTGACAATTATTTTTTTTCACATATTTAAGGTAAAACTGTTTTGCTCTTTAGCTTCTATTGTCCTAACTGTGTAATTCTTTTGACAGTAATTTATATTTTTCTTCCTTTGTCCTTTTAACTGCATTTAGGATTTTCTTCTTATATTTTATATAGTTTTTCTTTTTTCTTTTTTCTTTTTTTTTTCTCTTTTGCAGTACTAGAGTTTGAACTCAGGGCTTTGTGCTTGCTAGGTAAGTGTGCTACCATTTGAATCATACCCCCAGCCCTGCAGTTTTTCTTCTGCGTATCTAACTGTAGGTTTGAGGTGGCTATATGGATAACTTACTTAGCTATCTTAGTTCAGTAAAAACTCTCAGCTATCCTGTCAGCAAGTAATAGCTACTGTCAAAAATTTTCCATTCCTTTCTAGGGTTTGATAGATGATAGATAGATAGACAGATAAACAGATAGATAGATAAATGTACATGTATGTGTGTGTGTGTGTGTGTGTATGTGTCTGTATATGTATATATATATGTGTATTTATACACACATGTCAAGAGATATTTTCTTATAAAATAGACTTCTTACTCCATCCTCTCTATTTCTTCAGTATTTTCCGGCTTTTTTGTCTGTTTGTGTTGTACTAGAGACAATTTCTTCTGAACTTTTTTCCTAATGTTCTTTATTTAAACTATTGTTCTGTTCATCCACTGAGTTTTAAAGTTTAAGATTTGCATTGTGTTATTTGTACTTGGTTTATTTTTAATTCTACAATCTGTAGGCCCTACCTTGTTGCAGTGAGATCCTTTACCCAGGGTAGGCCCTGGGTTTTGGGTATGGGCTCCTCACTCATTAAGGGAGTCAACTTTCTAGAGCTGCAAATAGGAGAGGTGGTCCCTTAGGCCTACATGGTCCTCCCTCAGCTGCTTCATGGATCTGTGTTGTCTGTGGGCTCTTAGAAAGCAGCTGAGTTTGAAATCTAAACAAAAATATAACTTAGATTAACTGGGATACCATTGGGGTTATCCCCACTCTTTTATCTTCCCCATCAACTTTCTTTTCCCCTCCTTTTCCATAGTTTTCTTTCCTAGGGATGAGCTAATGTGGGACAGTGGTGAAAGATATATTGGGTGCAAGGCAGAGGAAAGAATACTCCCCACCTTCTAGAATGGAGCAGAATGTGTTGGTGGGATTCCAAGTCTTCCCAGAAGACACCAAATTTAAGATTGGGAACAGGTTGAATTGGGCCTTAACACCATTGGCTTCACCTTCCCACCCACCATACGCAGCATCATACACAACCACTGGTAGAAAACCTCTAGGGTTTACTTCTATTTCTACTTCTATATGTCTGCCATTGTGCATGATGGATATGAATTTTCTACTACAAATAATACTTCTTATTCTCAATATGTCTGTTTTTTAAAGGCTTCCTTTTGTATAACCAGGATAATGAAAACTGTCAAACACACACATACCAAACACTTACTAAAGCAACAGCCATAAAAATTCAATTAACATCTGGAAACTATTATCTGATTTTACCAAGACCTTCAACACTTTATGAAAAAGGATTGTGAAACTCAAACCAAGAGAAATATTTGACTGTTTATCCAGAGGAAAAATATTAGGTACTTTGATGACTCAGGGTTTAGAGACCAAAGAAAAGACTGCAGGACCACTGGGCTGAGAAAATACTGAAGAAAGTTTCTGTTCAAAATAGGAAAAGAGTTGCTAGTGAGCTCTATTTACCATGTAGCTGCCTCAGGCCAAATTAGTGTAACAAATTGAGCACTTGGAGTCCTGTGGATACATTTTCTGTCAACAAAAATCAATTGACACAGCTTTCTGCACTGATTATACTCATTAGCTGAATCTTTGAATTTGACAAGGAGGTCTTTGAATTTCTAGCTGAAACCAAAGCTCAAATTATATTTTCAAATTTCAAAGTTTTGAGGTTACACACCCGTGCGTGTGTGAGCACACACACACACATACACACACGAGCTCACGCAATCACACAGACTTAGTCAGCTTTATGCAGCTGGAGGGAAATTAGCAGATTCAATGATATTTTGGCATCAAAAATGAATTTGTCCTAGGTAATTGTTCTGATTTACGGGAAATCCCTGAGAGAGTACTCAGGAGCATGTCCAGGCTTCTGGTACACAGAGAAACTAGAAATTATGTTATTTGTCTTGAAAAGGACTTGTTTCCTTTTTCTTTGAAACTTACATGTTATTTGTCTTGAAAAGAATTTGTTTCCTTTTTCTTTGAAACTTACATATTAACCATCTACTCCTTCCCTGCCCCCCACCAAAAAAAAAAAAAAAGAAAAGTAGTTCTTAGTTTTAGAAAGTACACATTGAACTGCTGTAACTCTAGAATTTATTACTAGGTCTTTGTTTTAGGTGGAACAACAACAACAAAAATCCCTAGGCCTTGAAAAGCATAAAGCAGTTAAGATACCAGTATGATTATTAAAGTACCAACTTAAAATCTAACATAAGGAATGGGTTGAGATGGGCTTCAACATCATTGGTTTCCTCTTTAAAAAATAGAGATATATTAAGTGTAACTACTTTAGCCAAAACCACCTTCATCTCTCACAGGGATTTCAAAATGGACTCCTAAATGGTCTTCCTGCTGCTTTTTGTATCCACTAACAGTCATGTTCCAACCTGACAGACAGCCAGAGTCATCCTTTAAACCAGGTTGTCCCTCTTTTTAAGACCTTCCAATCACTCCTATTTTCCTTAAAACAAATGTTTACAAAAGATTTGATGTAATCCAGCCATCTTTTGCTGTATTTCCTCCTCCTTTTGTTATCAACCTACTCTTTTCTCAGGCCAGGTTGTGCTCCTTGCTGGACCCCTAAGAAGCCAGGCCAATCCCACCTTGGGCTGTTACGTGGACTGTTTTCTCACCTACCAAGAGTCTTCTTGGATACCCTTTCTTATCTTTCAAGTCTTTCTCAAATTTGACTTCTCAAAGAGGCTTTCCACTATCACTCCATTTAAATTTGATATCCTCCTCTACCACTCTCCTATCCTTGGCCTCCCTCTCTTTTTTGTTCTGCTCAACTTTCTGTTTTTCACAGCACTTTCCACTTCTCTCATAGATCATCTTCTTCTTTCCTCAGTATGCCAGTGGTGGTCTTTCCCCATTAGCATGTAAACTCCACTAGAGTTACAGGCTGTACAAGGATTTGTCTATTTTTTCCACTGATGCTTATCAGTGCCCACAAGTTCCGGACAACCAGGAACAATATCTGGCACATGGTTGATGTCCAATAGCTATTTTGATTTTTTTTAAATATAAAACCCTTCATGATTTTTTATGTCATCTTTGCTTAGGTGTGATGCTAATCTTCTCTTTATTGTTCCATTGTTAGTGTATGTGCTACCAAAGGGAACATCAATAAATATCTTTGAATGATTTATGTAAAGGGATAACTAAATTAACTTTGCACTGTAAAAAGAAAATTCTCTCTTGGGGAAGAATAGTAGAGCTATCACAGCTAGGTCACTGGAATCCATTTGTTTGACCGAACAAATGCTGTCAACCATTCAACATCATCTTTTCTCAGGTTTCTTGATGGTAGTGAGATTTTGTGGAGAACTTTTCAAAGTGATATTTGTGATCATATCTAATATCTAATCCCTAGAGAAGATGGGAAAGAACCAAGGAGAATGAAATTATCTGTCCCATTGCATTTGTGGTAGGCCAGGTGCCAGGCCATACTACAAATGTTGGGTTAGAGAAAGGGAGTTGGAGGTGCTGACTCTCTATTCCAGAAGACACACCAAGCAACCTCCCAGACAAGTATGAAATCCCGGGTGACTTAGAAAGCAATTTCATTGCCATAAAAATGACAGCCTCCCTTTTTTTCCACACAGGGGGAAGGTTCCTCCTCATTCTTGTCGGAAACTTGCCATGAGGATCCCTCTGTTCCCCCCAACTTAACTCCCCCCAACCCTCAAGCTCTCAAGTGGTGACCACCGTCCTTCCGGCCAGGTAGGACTAGATGGGAGGGGTCGCTTTTGAGAGAAGGGTGGTGTGTGGCCATCCGATTTTCAGGCATCCTGGTCTTGCTCTTTTGGTTTTAACTCTCCCCATCTTTCCCCTAATCAGTTCCCAGCCATATCTGTGATGCTTTCCTGCTTAGCTCTGGTATTTATTTCTTCATCATGAACTTTCTTCCTGACACAAATCTCATTCTTCCATATTATATTCTTTCCTTTTTCTTCTTTTTGTTTCTTTATTTGAAAAACTGGCCTCCTTTCTCATCTTCATGTTCTTTCTTATTCTCAGGCTATTCCCACTTTTGAAACTTTTTTTTTTTCCATTCTTCTTCTCACTACACTGTTATCCCACAGTCCTATTATCTTTAAACCCAAATGGAATCAAATTGTCAGAGTCTTCTCAATCTAGGCCACTCAACTTACCACATACCTCCTTTTGAAAGTTCAACAAAATTCTTTTTATCCCACATGGCATTTTGAGTTAAAAGGACAGCTCATGATTCCCCAACTCAGTTGAAGCAAGAACTCTTGAACATACCTTTACCAAAGGGATCCTTTGACCAGGAGCTATTGATTGGAGCAAACTATAGCTTGAAAGGACTTTAAACTTTAAAGAGAAGACTTAAACTTACAGAGGAGATGCATCATGAAATCTATTGTATTCCTTTAACTATTAAGAAGACTGGCCTATGCCATTCCAAACATTCCACAGGTATGCGAAACAAGAGGCCTCTAGTGAATGCATATATACATACATATATATATGCATACATATATATGCAAACTTCTCATAGCACAGTAAGCTAATTATTGTTGACAACACTTAATTTTATAATGCAAAATACCTAACTGAGATTATTTTGAATGTTTGCAACACAAATAGTAAATGTTCAAGGTAATGGATATAACTGTTATCCTGTTGTAATCCTAACATGTCATATAAAGTATTGAAATATCACACCCTACCCCGATAAATATGTATAGTTATTATCATACATGTTTTATTTAAAAATTTGAAAAATGGTTTTAAAAATAAAACAATAGCAAGATTCTATGCTGGTATAATGAAAATAGAGGTTCTATAGTGTGAGACTTATGTTTTTATCTTTAAGCATTCATTGATCTGTGAAGCAATACAGTTCAGAAAAGTCTATAAACAACTCTTTACTGAGAAAAGGGTATATAAGTTCCTTCACTTCATCTCTATCAGTTGCTCTAACTCAATGCCATTTCACATCTCAATAGGTCTGTGAATTACCTGGGTATCCTGTCAAATGGCAGGTCCTGAGCCAGGCAGTCTGGTGGAGTCTGAGAGCCGCCTTTCTAAGTAACTCTTCAATAATAGTGATCTGATGCTGCCATATTTCCAGAGACCACATTCTGATTGTCAGGGGTCTTTACATTCTTACTTCCTGGCTCAAGCAAATCGAAGAAACTTTAAGCTGCTTCCATGATAGGTTATTGTATTTTTACCTAATCATAAGCTCTTTGATATCTTTTTATTTTCTTCTGATTATAATGAGAGATAGACAAGAAAAATAAAGTTCATATCAATAGGTGGGGCAGAGAAAGGCCATGTAATGTTGATTTCTAGCTTCACAAGCAGCCATCAGGAAGACCTGGAAAATGCCTTCTTCATTTGGCTATAAATACTAAGTTCTCTTTCAAAGTCATAAATTCTGAGTGTCATTGGATTTTCTTGTTAGTTTTTCTTGTTGTTACTGCCCTGGTAGCTTTGAGAACCATTGTGAGATGTTTCATACCATAAGCCCAATATCTGATTTCCTCAGGGCATGCAAATGATGGTGCTCAGAACAAAAAACTTGGGTTTTGTTTTCAAAATGGATGTAAAGACTATAAATGCTACGTTGGTGTCCTTGTGCACTATAAGGCTTGTGATAGCTCCATTGACAACTGTATTCTCTTCAGAATGCCAACAGAGCTTCCTGCTTAGCAAAAGAAATATTTATTTTTAAAAACATACAAATATTCCCTCAATACCTGGTCTTCCAAAAAATCTTTAATCACATTGCTAGTTTGTTTGGTCCCTTTAGCTTCCCACATACAAAAGGTGACATAAAAATAAAGCAGTCTCACACTTTTCATGGAAAAATAGGTCTCATTGCTAAAGTAGAAAAAAATAATTATAGTATTTTGTATTTTAAAAAAAGAAGAAAAAGTTCTTTTATAGCAGTCTATGGAAAGTAGTTTGTGAACCAATTATAATATTTACTCAAGTGTTTCTTGCTTGTTTTACCCTAAACATTTCCATTTATACATGGCAGCTAAAAACTAAGTGAATGAACTAAAAGAAGTAGTACATATAGTTGCTACACATTTGCTAAAAAATATATTTATTATAGTAGAAGATTGAGTCCAAAAATGCTCATCACATAAGTGACTAGAATTTCACATTTTTGAAACTGTGAGCGTAAACCTCCATTATGATGAAAACACCCACCTCTTGTTATTGGTTAGAGATTAATAGGTGAAGCTGAACAGATGAGTCATACTTTTAATCCTGGTAGCTTCTATTTTTAGTACACATAAATCACTGCAGAGCAAGATTTAAAACAAACAAAGAATCATGATTGCTCATTTTGTGTGTCTTAAGCCTTTAGATAAAGAACTGTAGCATGACCAATTTCTGAGAATACTGATGACATAGCACTGGAAAATTAGAAATTTATGACAAGTGTTTATTAAGTGCCTTCTTTATTCTAGTATATAGTAATACTAGAATATACTACTTATTATACTAGACTTATTATACTTATTATACTAAAATAATACTACTTTATTCTAGTATATAATAATATAGTATTAATAAAAGTTAATACTATATATAATAGTTTTAATAGTGAACACAAAAGAACAGAAAATACAGTTCCTACATGCATTAAAATAATGAAAGGCGGCTCATGGTCATAGAAGGACATTAAAATTTATTTCCTAATAAAAAAATAATAAAAAGCTGGGCACTGTGGCTCATGACTGTAATCTCAGCTACACTCAGGAGGCTGGGATTGGGAGGACAGTGGTTCAAGGCAAGCTCAGGCAGAAGGTTAGCTAGACCTCCATCTCAGTTAATAAGCCAGGTGGCACATACCTGTAACCCAAGCTACACAGGAGGCACAGGCAGAAGGATACAGGTCTAAGGTTGACCCCAGGCAAAAATACAAGACCCTACTTGAAAAACAACTAAAGCAAAGAAAGGACTGGGAACATGACTCAAGTGATAGAGTGCTTGCTTAGCAAGTAGAAGGCCCTGAGTTCAAACCCCAGAGCCACCAAACAGATAATAGCAATAGCAATCAAAACAGTAACAATTAGGATTAATTGAGCACTCACTACATGTTCAAGCACCTTCAAAGCTCGTCAAATGTACTATCTTCTTACCCTCACTGCTATAATCTTGAGGAAACAAGGTTCAAAACATTAACGAACTTCCTTCCTCTTTCTCTACTCATTTTGCTATTGAGCTTATACATGTAGGTGCTGAGTTCAAGCCAGAAACTGGATGCATTTTCTTCCCTTGAGATCTTCTTGTGCTCTCCTCTCTCCTCTTCCATTTCCCCAGCCCTTAATAGCATCCTTGCTATTTAGCCTACTTCTGAATTATCTGAGAAAGGATTTAGGGTGCACATGGCCTTTCCCATGGACTTATTTTTATTTTTAAACAATTGTCTTTCATTTGGATTTCATTTATTCCTTCAAGTTGTATTTACTAGGTCCTGGTGTTTACCCCTGAGGATACTAGGAAATCTAAAGAAACATCTTGGAATAGAAATATCTCCCTTTAGACTGTGTTTTAGTGTCAGTCACAGAATAGGAAGGGATTCTCAGCTTGTGACAAATGACCCTGTCCTCCTTTTTCTCTGGCATTATAGTCAGGGAAACTGCTTTCGGTTAAATTTTGGAAGATTCAACCAAGAAATAAAGAAAGATCTCTGTGAAAAAGAATATCTAAATACTTAAATGGATTTCTGAGGGTTATAATGAACACATTTGAAGATCTTTAAATATGAAGAAAAACAAGCCTTCTCCCCACAGAGGGTTGTGTATGGCCGGGTGACCTTTTTATGATCTGCTTAGAGCCCATGAAGGATGTGGTTAATTAAAGTCAGAAGTTTGCATCTAAAATAATAGGTATGAGAGCCAGAGAATTCAAGGTTTGAGGACTCATTAAATAGAGTTGCATAAATATCATGCTGAAAGATTTAATGAGTCCATAGAGTCGCTTATAGAACAATGGAGCAGAGATGGCCTAGAAAAAATAAATTAGAATCGATAGTGTGCTTCTGAATGAACAACTATAGATTGCTATATTAACCCCTGAGAGATGAATTCTATAATTATATCTTAATGATGCATGTTGGTGTTCTTTTTATCCTTAATAAAATGAAGATTGCTCAATTTTAGTTTTTACTTGTCAAGAATAAAAATAAATTCATATGTGTGTGTGCTTATTTCTCTGGCTTCTCAGAACCATAAATCCTTCACATAGCTACAACTAGGTGACTTCTGTTCATGGTTTTTCCTTTATTAATCCAACTGATAGTTTGAATGCATACTACATAACAGGCACTGAGTTAGAGGCTGAGAAAATAGAATGATTCACCCTTGCCTCACTCAAGTGGATTACTGTCCAGTACTGCATAGTATTGTTAATAGGGTTTTCTGCTGTCATGGAAGTTTTTCCTATCTGATAGGTCAGTATAGTAGCCACTAGCCACAGTCAGTTATTAACCACATGAAAAATTGAAATAATTGGGTTTTTAATTTAATTCTACTTTTATTTAAATTTAAGTGTAAACAGCCACATATTTAATCCTCATTTCTAATGTATAGACCTCCTTTGCCTAAAGGATTTGCATTGGAACAAAACACAATGATCATTATTATAATAGCAGAGAAAGGGTTGGCATATATTTGGTAAAACCAAGGAAGACTTCGTAGAGATGGCAACCATGAGTTGAGACTCACAGGATTGAGTTCACCAGTTAGAGTAGCAGAAGAAAAGGAATTCCTATGACATTGTGAAGAAGCCCAAGATGCAAGTACAATGTTACTATTGTGGAAC